TATATAGGTGTGTTAAAATCTGAATTTTAAATTTAGAGTGTGCCTGTGGTCATATCCTTTAGCCTAGTTAAGGACTATCAGGTGGCTAAATAAGTACTAACATGGGTGGTTTTAGTTTCGTCGTCCATACGGCGTGCTATTGTATGGATGCCATTCACTTAAATGGTAATGTATGGATCAATTGCTTCTACGCCCAAGGTAAGAGTTGCAAGACCACAAAGGTCACTACTAAATTTTGACCCTATTGCACCACGTCCCCTTGCACCAAAAACAAATCTGATGCAATAGGTGGCTGCTATTGCATCAGTTTTCAAAATCTGATGCAATAGGTGGTCGTTATTGCATCGAAAATGAGTTGGATGCGATAGTAATTCATGTCGATGCAATAGGTATGATCTATCGCATCATTTCGAACATGGGATGCAATAGGTAGAAATTATTGCATCGGACACATTTGGTTGCGTTAGTATTGATTTTTTAATGCAATATGTAGGTGGTATTGTACCGGTTTAGAATATGGATGCAATTAGGAAGTACTATTGCAACGGATTTGTCTCTAATGTAAGGTCACCTTGCGACTGAGTAGCTAGCTGGTGGGACCACGTGTAAGTTATTTTTTTTGAAATAAAATTGACTAACGTGAAAAAAACATCTTGCGACTACCTAGGTAGCTGGTGGGACCACGTCTAAGTGAATTGCCAGTTGGTGGGACCATGTCTAAGTGAATTCTTTTTTGAAATAAAATTGACTAACATGAAAATAACACCCTGTGACTACCTAACAAGTGAATTGTTAATTTTAAGAAAAATAACACATCTAATAAGTGAATTGTTAATTATTTTTTAAAAAAATAACAGCTAGGACCACATCCAAGTGAATTGCTAGTTGGTGGGACCACGTGTAAGTTAATTATTTTTTGAAATAAAATTGACTAACGTGAAAATAATTAAAAAAATAACAGCTAGGACCACATCCAAGTGAATTGCTAGTTGGTGGGACCACGTGTAAGTTAATTATTTTTTGAAATAAAATTGACTAACGTGAAAATAATACCTTATGACTACCTAATAAGTGCATTGTTAATTTTAAAAAAATGACACGTTTAATAAGTGAATTGTTAATTATTTTGAAAAAAATAACTACTTGTGAGGGGAAGAGGAGTCGAACACATGCCCTAAGATTTGTCCAAGTCATGGACAAACCACTAGGCTAGTTGTACATTGTTGCATGAACTAGGCTAGTTTGTGTGTGTGAGTGTGTGAGCAGCAACTAGCAGGTTTGAATTTTGTGAAGGATTATTTTCTGGAATAAAATCTTCCCTTCAGAAGAGTAAAAATGATCTTGGCACTAATACCTCACATATTAAATTTCACTGTAAAACAACATATTAACAATAACTCTCCAAATTGCTTGTTTTCCCCTTGCCTATCGTAGTCTATACTTGCCAAGATATATATGCTATCTGAAGTAGATAGTAATCCTATCATAGTTCGAAGAATAATAAAACAAAGCTGCATGCATTGTACAGGGCCTCACCGCCACCATGGAGGCTGCAGGACCTAGTGCACGCGGTGCTATCAGTGAACACAGACCACGTGCGCCGCATCGGCGTACGGGGGCTGGCTATGTGGCGGAGAACTAGGATGCGGCGGCGTCGGCCTCAGCCTCGGCGAGCGGCGCGGAGGGAGGCGGACTCTTCCTCGGCGGCGGCGGCGCTCGGCCTCCATCCAGGCGGCGCGGTGGCAGATCCAAACTGTTTTCCGCACCATCTCCTCGCCCACTACTTCTCCTCCTCCGATGGGGTCAGCGTCGGTGGCTGGGCCATACGAAGGGGGCGACGGACGTGCGCCGGTGCTTGGCTAGAAGCGCGACGAGGCGGCGAGGGAGATGATGGTGGGGTTGATGACACAGCGGGTTAGACACGGTTTTGAGGAATCACCGACGTGGAATGGCCCATTACGACAATTGCCTGTTCTCCAACGCTTCTACTCCATTCCGAGCACTGAGCAAGCATATTAGTCCCAAATCGCCTATCCACCGATGTAGTGCTCTGCTTAAAAGTTGAAGGCTGCAAGCTCAGTCGAACTCACTACCTATACGACCACCATGACCACGCTGCAGTTTGTTGGGCCTGTTCTAGCCAGGCCGGCCTTGCTGGGCTCCCCTGTTTGGTTGAGTCTTGTGGGCTCCCCTATAGGGTTGAACCTGGCGAGGCCAATGGCTTGGCTAGTACATAGCCAGTACTTTTGTGCTTTTTAACAATTTTTGTTTAACTTTTCGAATTCAACGTGTTTTTAACAATTTTTGTTTAACTGTTTTAATTCAACATTCCAACAGCATTTAAAATATTTTGAAAACAATTTCTATCATGGTTACTATTGTTCTCATTCTATGAATCAAAACGATATTTCCGAAACATGGAATTTGCCCATGTTGCAGTTCTCAGACTGCTAAGGTTTGGCACCCTCTTGGCTCCACCGCTGCTCATAATCTATTGAGTTGGACTCGAAAAGTTAAACAAAAATTGTTAAAAAACACATTGATTTTCAAAAGGTAAACAAAAATTGTAGGAGAAAAGCTCATAAGTATAAATTGTTAAAAAACACGTTGAATTCGAAAAGTTAAACAAAAATTGTTAAAAAACACATTGATTTCCAAAAGATAAACAAAAATTGTAGGAGAAAAGCAAAAATTGTTAAAAACACATTGAATATAATGAAAAATTGTAGGCGCTAGACTAGCCGATGGCGTAGCCTCACACCGCAGCCAAGCAAAGCCGGCCCGCTAGATCAGGCCCACAAAGTACAACTTTGGTAATGGTAGTCATACAGGTAGTACGTTCGACCAAGCATGCAGCCTCAAACTTTTAAGCGTGTCTCTACCTCATCTGAATTCGCGATGTGGGACTATGCGCATGCTCATTTGGAGAACAGGTAAACAATATCCTAACTGGGCCGGCCCAGTGATTCCTGAATACGAAGAGGAACAAACGTGTGCACTATATGTGCTGCTGGTAATTTAGTAAATAATGAAAGAACTCTATGTGCTATGTCTAGTACTTTGTAAGACCGAATACAAGCACTGTATGTGCTTGTGTCTGGAACCACTAATAGAAGCCTAATGGAACCAGTACGTATATTTGCATGTCTCTTGACCTTTTTCTCGTTGCATGCTTGGTGTCCAGTCACCAAAATTCGTGGAAGCCTGAAGGGTGTGCATAGGCGTGTCAATTTATTTACATGTGCAGGTGCTCTATGGACAGTTGGTCAGTTTGTTTTGGGAAGCCAGAACCGTTGGTACTCAACTTGTGTTTCCAAAATTTTATAAATGTTGTTGGAATGTTGAATTTAAAAAGATAAATATAAATTGTTAAAAAACATGTTGAATTGTAAAAGTTAAACCAAACTACAAGCTGATGACATGACCGGACGCTGTGTTATTTCGAATTCAACGTGTTTTTTTAACAATTTATGTTTATCTTTTAAAATTCAACATTCCAACAACATTTATAAAATTTTGAAAACAATTTCTATCGTCGTTACTATATATTGTTGTCGTCATCCATTTACTTGCCCTGTCATTTCCAACAACCTAAATTTAGATGCGGGCCCCGATGTCAGTCAGTTAGAAATTTAGTGCGCTTCGAACTTCCCTAACCGGACACGCCGATGTGGTTCTCCTGACGCTTCTGTAGCGTCCGGTCTCCTCAGAAAGAGAACAGAGAGCACCTGGAGCCATCTGACGCGTCTAGTGTAGATGACCGGACGCTCGGAGGAGTCCGATGTCGTGTTGTCCTTCTCCTGCCTTCGGTCGGACGCCAGCCTGTGGAACAAACGGACGCATCGCAACTCAGAGTCCGGTCATTCTCTGTGTGCTTCACTGTGTTGAACGGACGCACGGTGTGAGTCCGGTCATGTCAGCGCGTGCGTCCGATATCGAGTCTGGTCACTGTATGTGCTTGTCTCTAGACCTTTTTCTCGTTGCATGCTTGGGTTTTCTGTTGTAAACCTGGTAGCCCCAGGCCTTGGATTGTCTTACGCTTTCTAATAAAGCTGGCATGAGCATTTGATCTAAAAAATGAGTCACGCAAGTATTTAGACATGCTATTAGCTAGGAGTCTAGAAAATAATCCTTCACAAAAATTGTGAATACTTAAATGAAAAAGTCATCATCAGCTTCGTCATCTGTCACAACGGCAGGTGCGACAACTCCATCATCAATATATGCGTCTACATCATCTTCACCCTCATCACTAATATATGTCTCAAGCATAACAAAAAAAAGAAACATATATCTGTGAAAAACTCCAACAACTTAGGTGTTCACCTTGAATTTTATTTCCATCATCTACTACTTTTAATCATTTGCCCAATCTTTTACGGTGCACGCAATTTAAATTTGTTTGCTTTCTCTGAAAGTTTAACAGATCAGTTCATGGACTGTATAGCAATACTAGGTACAATTTCGTCCCTCCCAAGATATAATTAAATTTCTATGAAGCACCAAGATTAGAACTGAGAATTCAAGGGAACTCTGATCCGATATGAGCCCTAAGATTGATCGGCAGCAGGGAGGATGCATCACCTTTGATCTGTAGCAGGAGGACGTGCGCCTCCAAGGGTCACGGGAGGATACGAGACGTACCTCCTAGTGCCGGCGTCCCCTGGTCTCCTGCTTGGACAAAACAGAGATCTTACGTAAATACATGCAAGTCAAAACATGATTAGATAATAGTATAAAAGAATAAAAATACTAGTCCATGCAACAACATGCAACTAGTCTAGTGGTTTGTCCATGACCTGGCGCTCAAAATTGAATCCGCGAAAACTTTCGGCAGCGCGCGCCCTCATCCCACGAAAAAACACCGGCTGCTAATTACTCTCCCTCCCTCCCTAATACAGAGCGGTTTATATTCCTATCCTAATCTAATCTGCATCACGGTAGAAGAGGAGCCACCGCCCCCAACCTAGCGGTACGCGTCTTCTCCACTCCGAGGCGCAATGGAGAAGACCGCACGCGCGCTGTCGTCATCTACTACCGGTAGGTCGCCGTTGCTGCAGCCTCCGCGGATGCCGCCTACCAGGAGGTCGCCGTCGCTGCAGCCTCCGCGGAGGACGCCTACCACGAGGTCGCCGTCGCTGCAGCCTCAACGGATGCCACCTACCAGGAGGTCACCGTCGCTGCAGCCTCCGCGGAGGATGCCTACCATGAGGTCACCATCGCCGCCTCCGCCTCCGCGGAGGCCGCCTACCAGGAGGTCGCCGTCGCCGCCTCCTCCCTCCATGAGATCGCCATCTCCTCCGTCCAGCAGGAGGTTCTCCATGCGGTCCAGCCCCAGCCCTGACGGTGTCATAGACACACCTCATCGTCGACAAGATGGACCCGAGAAGCAAAAAGATGACGAACCCAGGTAATTAAATTATTTTACTAGAATTTCTGTTAATTAATTGAACTACTAGAATTTTTGTTAATTAATTGGTCAGTTAATTAACAGTGTGGATGAGGAATTGGATGTTTGCTATTGTGTAATGTGTGACTGAAAACATGATGTTACAGCCCCTACAAAAATTATGTGACAATTTAGGAATTTAGATATTGGGGAAATTTGAATATGTTACTAGAAGTTTTAACATGCCATATGAAATAATCAGTCCTTTCAGAACACCAACCATATTGATACAATGATGATTTTGCCCACTTCAAAAGAGATAAAGAACATAATAGTATGTCAAACAAAATGTGGCACAATCACAGTTAGATATAAAACATCAGAGATGAAGCCTTGCAATGGATAATAGGTGAAGCAGGTTGCTTGCAGCACTTAGGAGTGTGTGCAAGGTGTTAGTATATTTTACTTAATGGCTCAGTTTGTTTTGTCATTCTAGCAACAGTTTGGCATCTTTTTTTTTCTCCTGGATAAGCCACAAATCCTTTAAGTCTGCACATATGCAATGGTTGCATTAACAACTTCTTTCTATCATGGAAATACACAGGTGTCATTTGATGTGTTATGGTGTGGTTTAGGTTGAGAGGGAGGGAGGGGGCCAGCCAAGCAAGAGAAAGAATTTCCTTCTAATTCCTGCATTCCTTTTCTCATGGTAGCCAATGGTATACATAGCCATTATAGGAATCCCTATCACCCCTTATAAGTTATTGTAGGCACATAGCACTTGCAGCTAACAAATTTTGACATTGACAAAATGCTATCCACTAAATTTTGACATTTGGCACATTGTTCCTGTCATTCCTCTAACTACTGGCATACACTACGTAGCTTGAACATCCATATATGCTATTTGAGTATGAGTACATTGTTTATTCATTTAACAAGTATACCTATGCATCAATTAATTTATTTCCTGACAATTGTAGGAAAACATTCCAGAAAACAGGAGATATGTGGCAAGTACTTATTGATTTCTTGGGGGGACCCCAGGACCAGAAACGTGCCATATTGGACCTTGACCGTGCTAAAATTACCTTTGCCAACTTATTGAAGTTCAAAGTTAAGATGGGTTATTCTGCGAGGGACTTCATGTACTATATGAAGAGATGTGGCAACGATACAAATTGTCTGCAAATATATAGATTACGAAGAAGATGCATTAGCAATGATAGAAGATTGTATACAAGAGAAGAAAATTAGGATAGCAGTTTGGACACTCACTAGATCAGGAAGGAGAATATGCAATCACACCGATTAAGCAACGTAGTACACATGAGGAAGTTAGTGGACAAGGAATTCGTGGATGAAGACATTGATGCGTTACGGTGTGTGGCTCAATAAGTCGCCACAGGATGAAAACAACCTAGGTACTAATGTACTAGAAAAATACATCTCAATGATTTTAGGTACAGTTCTCAAACTTACACTATATATAACATCTATATATGCATCTTGCAGAATTTAAGGATGACACCCGGCTGAATCTTCATTGCAACATATAAAGAATGGTTGAGGAGGAAGGGCTTCTTAAAGATATATGTAATCTGATTTTGTTTTATCTTGGCATTAGTGGAAGCCTTAATATATACATATATTTCCAACTCCATTGTAACTGTACTTTTCACTTTTTTGTATGTGCAGATGCATATTTAGATGATGAAACCATTGAAGAAGACGGAAGTGGTGACAATAGCACAAAGACCAATGCAGTTTCCAAATCATGCTCGTAGGGCCAAAGGCCTCTCGTAAAAAAGGTATGCAATGGTTCAAAGTGTTCATACATTACTATAACATAAAATGCTGATTTATAATGTTAACATACGTTCCATTTTGTAACATCAATTTTACAATAGGGGTTGGCGACAAGAGAAAGATTGGGCGAGGAACCTTGAAAGGTTTATCGGTCGAAGCTAAGAGATTTAAACTTAGCAATCGAGAAACTTAGTATAGATTTCTCATCCACAAAAGGCGGTCCTATAGGAGATAACTATCGCTCGTTTGTTGATGAAATAGTTCGGTTTACAAGAAAAAGGACTCCACTTATTGGAGTTAAAAAGTGGGGAGATGTCAAGCATTGTTAAAGATAAAATAGCACGAGATATAATGGTATCGTTACGCTTTTGCTCCCGCATATGATAAATTAATTCTTTGTAATATCTTAATTGTTCACAATTTGTTGGTCATCCCTTTCTACAGAGTTAGGTGGAACATTGAAAACAATGATGAAGAGAAGGCTAGGATATGGAAGATTGCAAAAATATCGTTACAAAGGATGGCGAGCTCAATTCAATTGCCACATACAAGGCATACAACAGTTATCATGAAAGAATGAAACATAAGCCAGATGATTTGGACATTGTGGAGTGGCACTACTTGGTGTTGTATTTTGGAAGTGAAAAATTCCAGGTTCCAAGCCTCTGACATATATGTGTTTATTGTCTGTATTTTGTAGTGCAACTAACATATCTGTGTTTATATTAGCGAATGAGCACCACAAACTCTAGCAATTCCCAGCATCGACAGACAATACATCTTACAGGATCAAAACCTTTTTCACAAGTTAGTTTTGAGCAGGTAATGATATGGAACCTAATTTTCTTCTTTTATTTTTTACGTAAACAGTAACAATGTTCAATTTTCACATCTTAGAGAAACCTAGAGACTGGTGAAGAGCCAGATGGTTTGACATTTTGGAGGAGTACACGCACCAAGGAGGGCCGATGGTCTTCTGATGCTGCTAAGGAAATATATGTAAGTGCTACTTTGTTCGTTAGTACTTAGTGATGTTGCAATTTTATATAACATAATTATTATATTGATGGTTGTACATGCCCTAATTGGGTGATAAAAGGTCATCATCTCCTTGTCCTTGTGTTTGGTTTGGCAATTCTATCTTTATGCTATTTTCAGTTTTCAGCTGTGCCACCTGTTCTTTTTGGTATAGCAAGTTAGGATGAGCCAAATGCTTCCAAACTTTTTCTGTGGTCTCCTGGTAGCATATGGTAGCTGCTGTAATTTTTGTAGAGCATTGTTGAGTGTCAAGTGCGACCGGACGCTAGACCGGACGCACAGTTTTCGCGTCCGGTCAGTGTTGCAGAGTGGCTGTGGTCCATTTTTCGACTGGACGCTGAAGAGAGTGCATGACCGGACGCACCAAGACTTGGAGTCCAGTCACGAACAGAGAGTGACCAGAGAGGGTTTTTGCTGAGCGGACACGTCCGGTGATGAGTGACCTGACGCACATGCGGGTCCGGTCAGCTCAAGCGGCTATTTTCTGCTGCTGTACTATTTTAGCTTGTATTGTTGTGACCAGCGCGTCCGGTCATGTCATCAGCTTGTAGTTTTGTTTAGCTTTTCGAATTCAACGTGTTTCTATCGTGGTTACTATTGTTGTCTTCATCCATTTACTTGCCTTGTCATTTCCAACAACCTAATATGTACACTCATCTCATGTACCTAATATCGTACTTATGCTTTATGTAGTTAAGTTATGTTCTTTAAAGTGATTTGAATAGAGCTGGGCTACTTGGTAAAACGAGTGTCCAGTGATGTATGTTCTCATAACATGTTTTATTCATTTATCTCTAATGTCATACATATCTCTGAAATGCTATCGTTCGACTGTCCATTGCTTTCTTATAACATGTTTTATTCATTTACCTCCAATGTCATACATATCTCTGAAGTATCCATTTTACCTAATTCTTGTTATACTTGAATTGGAACTGCTGTTGCTACTTGCTAAAGTTGAATACACTAATTGTGTTCTTAAATTTAGGAAAGCACCTTCTCCAAAGTTGCAGAGAGAATTGAGTTGGAAGCTTCTGTGATTTCAAAAGAACAAGAAAGGCACATTCTTCATAAAACCTACAAGGAAACCACTGGATGCAGGAGTAGGAAAGGTCCTGCACATGGATACATGGCAAAGTATCCGACCCGAAGCCAACTTATGAATGAACAAAATGAAGAGTAGGCTCGTGCATCTGCATTAGCAGCAGCAGCTCAACAGAAGAATATTGAGATGCAAGCTGAGGTAGACAAGTTAAAAGAACAGCTTACCGTTCAAGCCGCTGAGAGGGAGAGCGACAAGGAAAAAATTCAGCAGCTGCAACATCAACTGGAGAGTATAAGTAGCAAGATTAGAGAAGAACTAAGGCAAGAGTTTTTTGCACTAATCAAACAACAGAATCAAGCACCGCCTTTGGTACTAATACTACTTCTTAATTGTTACCAACATCATTGTTTTTAGTAAACCTTGATTGCTAATGTTTCTCCTTATAACTCCAATGCTAGAATGCTGCACCAACCACAACAGCCCCTCAGCCTGCAGAAACAGCCACTCATCCTTCAGAATTCATAACCAATGCTACTGTTATTGAAAATATGGTTAGTGGAAATGAAGGTGCAGATTTAGCACAGGTATTATTTTTTTGATGAATGCAAACTGCAATGTAATGGATACCTACATTTAATCTGACATAATGTGTGAATCTTTTTTTTTAAATACGAAGGCTGCTGTTAGTGCAAATGAAGTTGCAAATTCAGCACAGGTACTATTTTTTGATAAATGAAAACTGTAATGTAATGAAAAAGGATACCTACATTTAATCTTGAGGTAATGTGTGCATCTTTTTTTTTAAATGAAGGCTGGTACAGAATCTGCGTTGGGCATACATAATGCACCTTCTAATGGGCCTGCTGTTGTTCCCACTCCTAGCCAAGGACCAGAACAAGTGCAAAAGGTAATATACTTCAAAAATATCACCTGTACTTTAACAGATTCTTAGAATTGCTAAGTGGTGATTGCTCCTTCAAATCTTCTTGTTTTTGCAGACTATAGAAGACAGTGAATTAGTGAGCAATAAGATGAGTATCCAACCTAGTCACCTCACTCGCAGCAATGCCAATAGATCACTTTTCCCAAATGACAAAGGCAGTAATGAGTCTTTGAAGTTTATTACTTCACATACACTGAGGAATAATGCTGCAAGTAAAAAGCGAGTTTTGAGAAATAAATGAGGAAAGGTATGAGCTCAAAATCTTATACATGAATCAGGTGTCATTTTAAGTTGTTGTCCAGATTATTAACATGAACTTTGTTCCCTTATACATGAATCATGTGTCCTTGCTGCTGCTGCTGTAAATTTTGCAAAGAAATACATGAAACTTGATAAGTTTTGCAGCGAGAGCACAAAAAAGTTAAACATGTCCTTGCTGCTGCTCCTGCTAGCATTCCAATTTTGATTAGATAGTGAACAGCTTTAACTAACGGTGTCAAGCTGTTGTAGAGTGTTGCTTTCCACACCGATGGGATTGGTGAGTTCTAGTTGTGCCATGACCCGGTTGGATTGGTCCCTGTGCCTATGCTGCTACTAGTCTTTGAGGACTTCATTTTAGTGATGCTACTTTGCAATGAACAACTGATGTTTGGCTGGATGGTACTGCAATCATTAGGAATTTGCAAGTTACTAATTTTATTCCCTAGATGGTCTTACTGGATTCTAGTGTTATGCTCTTTATGCTCAAACCTACAGAAAGTGTCCAATGTTAATCAACTCCCCTGTTCTCATGTAAGCATGAGTAAAACCTTGATTAGCATCTACCATGCTGTCTATGTTTGATTCCAACTGTGTGATCAACTGTATATATTACTAATGCATGTCATTTTGACTTTTTCAGGAAGATCAACCTTGAGGGAGTCTTGGCAAGCTGAAATGAATCTAATATTGTGCAACGAGAAAGATATCATGTTGATCTGTGCTAAGAGACATGTATTTTTGTTTATGATTGCCTATTTGTAGCATAAGTTAGTGGTTTGTAATGCAGTTCAACTTTGCAATTACCTATTTGGAAATAGGAAGGCATTTGACTTCCTCACATTGTACAAATTATTGAATGCTTATGATCCAAGTTATTAATATGATTGCCTTTTGTGCCATTGAATTTTGTAATTTTATGAATTTTTGTGCAATGAATTCGATGCAATAATTGGTTGTCCTCCCAATCTCATGTCGATGCAATAGTTCGTATTGCAGCGAACCAAAATGGTGATGCAATAGAACCTCTTGCATCCAACCTCATGTCGATGTAATAGTTCGAATTGCATCAAACATAAAGTCGATGCAATAGTTCGAATTGCATCAAACATAAACTCGATCGTATTGCATCAAACATAAACTCGATGCAATAGTTCGTATTGCATCGAACCAAAATGGTGATGCAATAGGTTCTATTGCATCGAACCTAATATCGATGCAATATAGTCTATTGCAGCGCACGTTGGCCATTGCAATAGATGTATTGCATCAACATGATTTCGATGCAATAAGCTATTGCATCTCTTAGTTTTGATGCAAGAGACAACAGACGGCCGATGCAATAGCTGCTTCTCGCATCAGCCACAAGAAGCCGATGCGAAAGGCTATTGCATCAAGACCACTTGCATCGGCTCGCATCAAACGAGAAATTGATGCGATATCAAGCTATCGCATCTATTTTAGACCTATAACATCAAAAATTGGCCGGTGCAATAGGGTACAAATTTAGTAGTGGGTGAGCATGCGGTCTAAGGGGAGAGGTAGCTTTGGTACTGCGGTATATATATATATATATATATATATATATATATATATATATATATATATATATATATATATATATATATATATATATATATATATTTAATTATGTGTGTGTAGTCTTTATATACTAAGGTATTTAATTATGCATACTTTATATGTATATGTATGTATGGCACATATTTACTTTCGGGTAGCTTTGATACGGAAGTATATGTACGGGTATATATATGGAAGTTTTTAGTTGCAACCTAGAGCCCAGATTTACATTTTTGCCTATATAAGTGTTGGGTTCGGCTGAAATAAAATTCTTGTGCAGGTACACTAACAGTGAAACATATAGCCCAATTAGTTACGTATATTGAGAAAATGTATGTATGCCACCATATCTGTCGTTAGAATTTTAAATTTTTTCTAAGATTCGCGAGGACGTACGGAACGTGCATGCATCATGTTCACTCATGCATTTACATTTTTTCATTCCTCCCTCCCTTATAATTGCTTCCATTCATTAAATTTCTTCTCACGTATGATATCCTCTCACAAGAGTTGCACACTTTGATACAGATGGTAGCACCAGGAGCCCTACCTCGCAATGACACATTCTTGGCTGTAATTGGCACTCCTACCTTACTGTGGAGGGTGCTAAACTCATTTGGGTACGCTGAGCAACCCCGCTACTTCTAGAGGGAAGTGGCCGCTGAGGGGCAGCCGTGGTATGATGTGCAGGTGACCATTCCAGCCCATGCAGATAATCCATAGTGGCAAGGTTGGAGTATTGAGTCAGATGGGCAGTCTCCTTGGGAAGGTGCCCAAGTGGTAGCTATGGAGGCACTGAGTGAGATCTGTTAGGAGTTTGGTGATGAGCTCATCAATGGTCTAGCCAAAACCTTTCTCCGCGTGGATCTATCGGAGACCGCTTGGATGCAACTGGGTGGCAATGCATAGGTGAGAGACCATGATGAGCGAGCAGAGAGCTCTAGTGCTACTATGAGTGCTATGTTCGCCGTCCTAAAGATGTTCTACTCCTGCCAAGATAGCTACGTCAGTTGCATGCTAGAGCTCCAGCGAGCACAGGACGCGCAATGCCAGCTACGATGACGTGTGCGCAGGCATCAAAGGGCAGCTAGAGAGGCTCTATGGGAAACCGATAATGCTATTATAGCTTTGGAAGCTCGCTGAGTTTAGTTGGTAAATGCTGTTGTAGAAAGAGATGTACCTAGGGCAGAGATACAGGATGTACGTGCTGAGAGGGATGAGGTCATTTGCCTTGCTGAGGCTAGGGAGGCAGCTAGAATCTAGACTGTGTGTTAGGCTGCTATGTAGGCAACGGAGTTTGATCGTAGAGAGCAGGAACTCATATGCTAGATTGAGGAGTTTTAGCTGGATGTTCATCGTCTCAACAACATGATGAACCCAATTCTTCCTCCAGCTCCAGCGGTGGAAGGATATCCCAATGTGTTGATTGCTGAGGACAATGGCATGGAGGTGGATGCCAAGGCTAAGCCTGAGGAGGAGGAGGAGGAGGTCGAGCCTTTTGAGGATGACCATGGTGATGATGCGTCCGACATCGATAGCGACCACTCCGAGGCGTAGCTTAGCTATAGTACCTAGCTAGATGCGCTAGCTCTCTATCTTTGATCCTTTATGTAATGAACTTGTAATTTAGGTTTCGATCTCAAGATGTACTCATTTGATGTAATCTCGGAACCTTGCATGTTTAATCTATGTCGTTGTTGAACCTTAATAAATGTCTAGTTGGTGTGCTGGCAAGTAATTGGCATGTATAGCAATGCATTGCGTGAACGCTAAGTAATATAATTGGTGATGTTGTGTTCTGGAAATGAATTATTATGCCTCTGTTTGATTGTATGAATGTAAATTCTCTCTAGTAAATTCAGTTTGGCATAATTATATAATTCCTCTACAAATTTTCTGACATCATCAATAATTACTTGTGGTTGCAATTCTACTGATAACGCGCACTCGTAGGGGAGCTGGTGGAGATGATGCGGATGGTAGTGGTTCACGTGGCAATGACAATGAGGACCGCTCACCACCACCACATCCCATGCTAGCGGAGGTGATGGCCAGCTCATGGAAACCCAATGTTCCATGGGAGAAGTGTTGCGCGGTCTTGCGTAGAATGCCAACCATGGACGGGAAGGGACCAATGCCAAGGGCCTGAACCTAACCAGTTCAGCGATTTTAAGGACTTTCTGGACACCAAACCTCCTAGCTTTAAAGAAGTAGGGGAGCCATTGCAGGCAGATGAATGGCTAAATACAATTGAACAGAAGTTCCATCATTTAAGGGTCATAGAGCACATGAAAGCAGAATACGCATCACACCAGCTACAGGGGCCTACAGGCATGTGGTGGAGTCATCATCGATCCACTTTGCATAAGAATGTTCAAATTACCTAGAACTAGTTTAGGACTGCATTTAGGGGACATTATATTTCCCCAGGTCTTATGAGCATGAAACATACAGAATTCATGAAGCTGACACAGGGTACCAAGGGCCTAACTAAGTATCTGCATGCCTTTAACAATTTGTCAAGGTATGCCATAGAGTTTGTTGACACTAATGCAAAGAAGATTGCTAGTTTTAAGAGGGGGCTTAGTCTGAAGCTGATGAAGACTCTAGCTAACAGCAAGTGTGCCACTTTCAATGGGTTTGTTAGTGATGCTTTAACTCAGGAGAATCAGAACAACATCTATTCAGCATCTAAGAGTCGTAAGAGAGCTTACGAAGTAGGTGCATCTTAGTCAAAAGCTCCTATTGCTGCGAGACCTCAGTTCCGCCCACCTACCCCAAAGTATAGACCACCTCAGAAGAAGGTACAGACTAGTCAAACCCAGAAAGTGTATCACAAGGCCTTTTCTATTGCCCTACCAAAGGGTAGCACATGACAAGGAAGCTCCAGCATTCAACCTAGCAACATGACAAGCTAGAACTGCAACAAGCCTAGCCATTGGGCAAGAAATTGCCCCTATCCCAAGAAGAACAACAACCAGAAGCAGGGTAATCCAAATGCACGTCATGGACACGTGCACCATACCACCCTAGAAGAGATCCCTTCAGGTGAAGTTGTTACTGCAGGTACTTTTCTTATGAACCAATAGCCCACAATTGTTTTGTTTGATTCTAGAGCTTCACATTCAGTTATGAGTCAAACATTTGCATCCAAGCATGATCAGGGGGTAGTTACTATAGATAAGGGTGGTTATTACATTAGTGTAGCCATAAATAATATCTCTACCAACCAGATAGTCAGAGATGTGCGCATCTCAATAAGCAACCGAGAGGATACCTCAGATCTTATAGTATTGCCGGGGTTAGGGATAGATGTAATCTTAGGTATGAAATAGATGAGTAGCCATGGAGTTCTCATTGACACATTGACTAGAACCCACATGTTGAGGGATCCCTAGAGTA